AAAATTGTGTATTTACGCATCCGTTTGCCCCCGCCCCCAATCTAACCCATTGCCCGGGACAAACTGACCTCGATGCCGTCGAGATCGCGTCGTTTATTTTAACACAGTATTATACTGCGGTGCGGGAGGAGGGCCTGTGTTCTGAGAAGACGCTAGAATTATGATAGTCCCAGTCACTCGCAGAGAATGTCCAGCATAAGCCAGCAAAGTTATGGAGTACTTAGGCGTGAGCGCGATTCTTATTATTTGATCTGGGGCTGGTCTCGGTCTAATATTCAGGACTAAAAACCTTTCTCACTCAAGCGATTGCATTAAGAGGGAATCGAACCCCCGGCGGGTCGATAAAGGAACTGCGGTCAGTATGCGTATGGCAACGACCCAGGTTACCACTACCCCATTAATGCTTGCATACACCAGCAGCTCAAATCTCTACAGCATTATACTGCAGTGCGGGAAGCCTGCAATGAACGCTAATAATAGTCCAACACTCGCAGGGAATGTCCGGCACAAGGAAGCAAGGAAGCAAAACTATGTAGAGCGGGTGAAATTGCAGTATGTACTTAGGCTTGAGTGTGGTTCCTATTATTTGAACTGGGGCTGGTCTTGATTCAATATTCAAGATTAAAAAAAAATTATGGCCGCATTACCGATTGCATTAAGAGGGAATCGAACCCCCGGCGGGTCGAGATCAGCTCTCGAGGTGGCAACGACCCAGGTTACCACTACCCCATTAATGCTTGTGGGATGTGTGTCTCTGTGGAAAGTATGTGCAGACGCTGGGCATCTTCCTCGAATTCCGGGGCCGAGTCTCCTCCATCCTTAAGCAGTTCGAGTCGTGATACAGTTGTCATGATTTGCAGTAGATAGTACAATGTAATACAGAAAGCTTTTGTTAGAATACAGTGCGGGGGTATATATATATCTGTCGAGTCAAATGTTCGTCCACCCCCTCATCGAGGGGTGCGCCTCCCCTCCCCAAGCTTGAGGCCCCCGCTCACCCCAACACATTCCGCACCCCCTCCATCTGCGCCGGCGTCAACCTCGCCGGAAACGCCACCTCCCACCTAACCACCAAATCCCCCTTACTCCCCACGACGCCATCCTTCCTCACCGGCATGCCCTCCCCCTTCACCACCGTCTCCATCCCAGGTCTCACCACCCCGCCAGGCACCGGCACCTGCAGCTGCCGCCCGTCCAGCGTCTCCACGACGCGCGTCCCCCCGGGCGCCCCCGCGAGCGCATCGACGAGCGGGATCTCGAGCCGCGCGACGAGGTCGTTCCCCTCGCGCGTGAAGGTGGGGTGCGGCTTTTCTTCGACGACGAATACCAGGTCCTGCGGGGGCGAGGAGGGGGAGGAGGGGGAGGCGTTGCCCGCGCCCGGGAAGCGGATCTTGGTGCCGGGCTTCCAGCCCGGGTGGATCGCGATCTCGAGGACCTTGTCCTCCGTGGTGCCGTCGGCGAGCTTGCGCCCGATTTTGAGGTGCTTGAGGGCGCCGGAGTAGAGGTCTGCGAGGGAGACTTTGAGGGGGCGCGTTATTTCTGCTGGGGGGGAGTGGGGGCGCTTGTGGGGGTGGGAGTGGGAGTGGGGGTGCGGGGGGGAGGAGGCGTAGGGGTGGGAGGTGCGCGGCATGCTGGAGCTGGTGAAGGAGCCGTCCATGTCGTCGTCGATGTCGAAGTAGGGGCCGCGCGGTTGGCGGTTGGGCGTCCCGCCCATACCGCCCATACCGCTCATACCTCCCATTCCGCCCATCCCGCTCATTCCACTGAACATACCGAATCCGCCGCCGAACATACGTCTACAAGACCATCAGCATCCAGATCACCCTAACTACGAATACGAGACATGACGCACTCGAATATCTTGTCCGGATCCGAGGGCGCAAAGCCCCCGGGCCCAGAAGAGGAGAACGTAAACGTTTGTCCCCCCGCGCCTCCACCGGCGCCGGGGAACCCGCTGAAGCCTGAGAACCCGCCTGTGCCTGCGCCTTGGGAGGGCCCGGGGCCTCCGCCGCCTTTGAGGCCCTCCTCGCCGAATTGGTCGTAGACGGCGCGTTTGTTGGAGTCGGAGAGGACTTCGAAGGCTTCGGATACCTAGGGGAGGGTGAGTTGGGGTGAGCAGAGGAGGGAGGGGAGGGGTAAGTACCTCTTTGAATTTTTTTGTGGCGTCTTCAGAGTTTTTGTTACGGTCTGGGTGCCATTTGAGTGCCTGTGAGCAGGTGAGTGAGCTGGGAGATTGGAGAGACCGTAGCAGAGGAGACAGACCATTTTCTTGTAAGCCTTTTTGATTTCATCGTCCGAGGCAGATTTCTGTATGCCGAGTATATCGTAGTAGCCCATGACTGTCGTGTGGATCGTGTGTGTCTGGGAGTCTTCTTATAATTCTGTATGAGCACGCTATCTGTCACTGGGACATTCCAGCAAAACCCCATGACATCATCCAGACCATTCTAGAACCGACGGTTCGATTTCCCAAGCTATCGGCTCGGTCCGGCAACTGCCGATAATCTTACTTCGTCGTAAACAGTATTCATGGTCATTTTTGTTTGTTCTTTTTTGCCTTGAAGAGTATTGGTAGAGGGGCATAAGTGCTTCTGACATAATTCCCAAGAAGCCTCCATTGCCCAAGCCTACATGCGCATACCAGAGTAACTTGTCAACATTAAATGACTATATCATCACAATAAAACTCTACAAGGCTTCGGAGGAGGTCAGGAATCAGCAGCATGGAAAGCTGATAGATTTGAATGTCCACAACGCGTCACGGAGGCCACAACACGCCACAAAGGGTTGCACATCTAGTTAGCAGGTCGTGGAAGGTTTTGTGAGGTGCCTGGGAGATTTCGGTGGATTAGAAATTATTTGAAGGTACCTTTGGGGGTTAATACTGACGTAGGAGCATTGTGAATTTGTCCGAAGATGAATAGGCGGATGGTGCGAGCAGATATGAGTACAATATTACGCCACAGATGTGGATCTGAGTTGAATTTTATGAAGCTCGTGCACATAAATAGTACCTACAGAAACGAGTATCGTAACACACTCTATTGTGATCTCAAAACGCCTCCGAGCGGCGAGAACGTCAACAACAACAGTGATGATAAGGAGGGCGGCAAATGCCGAAATTGATTCAACTTCCGTTCTTGGAAATCTAAGTCTTCTACTCACCATATCGTCAACTTTCCCCCAAGCACGCTACGCCATCTGTATGCTGCTCAAATGCTACAAGATAGGTCTGTCTTAAGTTCATTCCTTTGTATCTCTTAAAATGCGTACAATTTTCCCATTCATGGGCTGTTTTGATGCCTTCTAACTCCCAGAGCCCATACCGTTGATCCTGCACCCTCCTCCGCTTCAACAGCGATGTGAGGCCTATTAGAGGGTGAATATCGACTCAGGGTGTGACAAATGTTATGAACAGCTGGATTCTGGGCAAGGTGTGCAACTATCGCTCATTCCCAGCTGGCTTGTGTTATCCCTCAGAGCCTCGACGCCCCCAATGCAACGCTTGATGGCCCACCCCATGTCACCAACTTGCAATTTGCCCCTCTGTGGCACTATAACACGCGCCTGTGTCTCTCTGACTCCTCCCAACGCGTTTTCGACCTATGAAGCCCTCAAAGTTGACCTTACATTTCTACCACTCGCTCGGGACATCAGGATATGCTGTCAAGCTTTCCACAATGTTCTTCCACTGCACAGCCTCTCACAACAACTGAAAGATACTCGAGTTCGCATGTAAGTTTAGCACTGACATTGTCTGAATGCAGTCACAATGTAGCTGTGTAGTACTATCACTTGGCTCATGTACTTCTATAGTTCTATAGTTGAAAATTAATTGCGAGTTTTCCTTGAGATCCTTTTATTTGAGCTGCCCCCCTGAAGCTGAAAGGTGTTTGATTTGTCGAGACGACACAAAGATATCATTAAATTGTAATGGGTTCAGGGACAGCCATAGCAGCTGCCGGACCGGGCCGATGGCTTGGGAAATCAAACTGTGTAGCTCTCAGCGCTGGCCTACCATATCCGAGTCGTGAATACTGTAGCGAATTGTATGGTAGGAACCGGAGAAGGTGCGTTACGCAACCTGTTAGGTTGACCCGAGTAATGTTACGTGTTGCGATACCTAAAATAAGGAACCAATGCGGCGCAGGTCCGCGTCAGAAGACTGAACGTTGGCGAGCCGAACAAAATATACTGTGAAGTTGAATTCAAGGAACCAGTTGGTACTCTGCACCAACATGTCTACAGACGAAAATCTTGGTGTTCCAGTGGCTCTAGCTTCTCGTATCACTTATCCTCAGTCGCTTTTGAAAGAGCTACCGACATCTCTTCCACTCATCTGTCCATCGAAACTTCGAGATATCACTTCTATCTTGATGGATGGTGATTTTTGTGAAAATAGACCCTTTTTTTTGGCTCAGAAACTTTGTGGTAATTAAGAAACTTTTTTCGGGTTTGTTACGCGTTACGGTTTTAACCATACAATTCGCTACAGTATCAGCAAACAGATTTTATATCATATGAACAACTCGTATGGGGAGTGCTTGAGCTAATTAAGTACTGTTCTTCCCCTTGCAATCCTTGTAGAATCGATACAATGGCGGAGAACAACCTGCAATAATAGCCGAGGCGGGAAATTAAATGGGAAATAGCTGGGAATCGAACCGTGTAGCTCTCGCCTCCCTACACACCACGATGGAAGAAAGCCCCGCGACCTCGCGCTCCGTCTCCGTCGACAGCCGCGGCAATCCCAGCCTCTTCCGTCGCTCCCTCCACGCAGTAGGCGATGTCCTCTCCCCCTTCTCCGCTGCAGCCGTAGCCTCCCTCCCCAAACTCGCACGCCCCAAGAGATACCAGCGCGCAGACGCCATCCCCGATGCCCCCAGCAACGACGAGGGCGAGATGCCCACCGTTCGCGACTACCACGCTATCAACTCCCTCCCGCCCCAGGTCCGTGTCCCCAAGAAGATTCGCACCCCGGTCAAGGTCGAGGCGAAGGTTTGGTTTGCGAATGAGCGAAGTGAGTTGGGGAGCGTCTTTTCTTTGACTGGTGGACCTGACGCTGTTTACAGCCTGGGTGGCGTGGCTCAACATCGCCATCCTCATCGGCACGCTCGCCCTCGCGCTCTTCAACGCCTCAAAAGACGAGATCGCAACCCGCTTCGCATACGGATACGCCCTCATCAGCGTCTGCGTCCTCGTGAGCCCCCCTCCCTCCCTCTCCCCTCCCCCCTCTCACCCCTCCCTAGGTATACGCATTCGCGCTGTACCAGTACCGCATCTCCATGATCCGCAGGCGAGACCCAGGCCATTTCGGTGCGTTCCATTCCTCCTATCCCACGCATAGCCAGCTCACAATCAGACACTACACACTCCAGATGCAATCGCAGGCCCCGTCATACTCGGCATCGTCCTCTTCACTCTCGTCCTCGCCAACTTTATCGTCCGAGGTACCTTTCTTCCCCCTCCCTTCCAAGTTCCGATCCTCACTGATCCAATTCTTTTTTCTTTTCTCAAACCCAGTGCGCGAGCTGTACGCCCCCCTCTCCTCCCCTCCCATTCACCCTCCTGACCACACCCCCAGAAAACGCAAAGAAGTCCCCATCCCCGGCGCAGGCCTCTTCTCCTTCCTCTCAGGCACATCCGCAAACTCCACCCTCGGGCTCTACACCCAACCCTAGGCAACAACGTTTCGTTGGGAAAAACTACGTAAGGGCGTATATAATGCCTTTATTTG